AGCCTGACACCAGCATTATCCCACTGAGGGCTCCTCGCTTCCACTAAGGAGACAACAAAACCTCGTGGATTTTAGCCCATGTAAGCGATAACAGAATCTCGCTGATGTTCCCGGACGCAGCAGAAGAGATGCTCACCCTACAGCAATGCCCTGCAGATGTGCAGAGAAATGGGAAGGCTCAGGTCATCACACAAAGGTTTGGCTGGTTGAGGTTGTACCTTTGAGTCCCACACCCATGGAGCAGCCAGCACGTAAAGAAACTGAGACCATCACATGAGAAATAGATGAGAGAAGCAAGCCTTGCTGAAGGTGGTTGGAAAAGCCCATATAACCACCTAAACCCGAGTGGGGCTTTTGAAGATGAAGCATCATGGGGGCTTGCACCATTATCCCAAAGCAGCTGAAGGGTGGGATCGGAGGGGCCGTGCTGAGCCGGGATGGGCAGTGCTGGGGTCTCCCCACAGCCTCGGAGCCATCGGCCACATCTCCTAACGCACTGTCAGCCAGAGAGGAAGGAAAGACCCCAACCCTCCAGGGCTGGCATGTCTCCTGAGCCGCGGTCGGAGAGGAGAGCAGGAGCAGGGTAGGAGGGACAGAGCTCATCCCCACCTACAGGCATCATCACCAGCGAGGACAGACCCGGGTATCTCGGGGGGGACTTCAGGAACTCCTTTTTGCACCCTCTGTGCCAGAGCAGGCACTTTGCAGCAGAGCCCAGCCCCGGGCTGCCTGGGCAGGGTCGGACACCTTACACCAAACCTGGAGCAGCCTGGCCAGGTGGAAAACCCTTCCCATTGTCTAACCTGAGCACAGACACCGTGGCCAGACATCCCAACAGCCCTGGATCAGCTCTCCCCACCCAGCAGCACTGACAGGACCCCCCCAGCTGTGCTCTTGCAGCACAAGGACAAGGTCACCGCAACGTGCATTAAGCAAGCGCTGCAAGCCAGGTGTTGCTGGGTCACAGCAGGGCTGGTGGCCACAGGGGGAAGGCAAGTGGGAGCCCAGGGTGACCCCAGGGCAGGAGCTCAGCATCCCCCCCGCCCAGGGCCAGCAAACAGCAGGGGCTGCTGGCAGCCCCAGATGCACCCAGAACCAAGTGACCAAGGAGGCAGGAGCCAAAGGGGACAGGGACAAAGAGAAGGCTGAGACACAGCTCCAACACCCACCCTGAAGAAGGTGCCAAACGCAGGACCTGCCCTGGGTGCCAGTGCCCACCCGAGAGACCCACCTGGGGCAGGAGCTGCTTGCAGGGGTGAGGTCCAGCAGGGCATGGCCAGGGAGCAGCAGCATCCTTCAGAGCAGGACTATCACCCCCAGCTGAGCTTAAATAACCTCCCTGGCCCGTGGGTGGGGGTGTGGGTCCCAGGTGAGGCTGCTCAGGGCCATCAAGGGCTAGCAGTGCCCATGGGAAGATGGCAATTTGGCCCTGCAGCTGCCCAGATGTGGCTTTACTGGTTACACGGCAATACCCAACCGGGCTGTACTGGGGGTGCCACCGCAGTCGCTGCCGAGGCTGGTGCATGCTGTGTGTTGGCAATGGCCCGCGGCGCTGAGCACTGAGGTGGGGTCCGGTATGGTCGTACGTATGGAAGGAATCATGAATTGCTCGTGGCCTAACTCTGTCTCTATTCAGGCTTTTCCTCCGTGAAGCGGGGAGTCACCTCCGCGCCCAGCGGGTCCCTGCTCCTTTGAGCCCTTTCCAGAAGGTCTGAGGACCTGCCACCAAAATCACTCCTTCAAAGGCTTGGGAATTACCCGAAATATCAGCATGACCAGGAGCAGCACTGGGCATAACTGAGCATCCCTTCTCTGGGGCTCGGGCCAAGCCGCCAGCGCTCAGGATTTGTGCGCAGCCCCTTGGTAGGTGTGAGCGAGATGCGCCGGCGAGGACAGAAATGAAGTTGGTGTCCATGGGGTCGCGTGTAGCCCATCCCCACCCAAAGCGTTGTGGTCTCCTAAGCCGGGCCAGGCCTTGAGATTGCAGGTTTTAGGTCAGAAGTTGAGTTTTTCAACTCAGAGGTTGGAGGTTTGGTGCTGCTGGTGCACGAGGGATGCTGTTAGGGCAGGTTGAGATGGTGCTTGTCGCCGGAGGGGGTGGCAGGGGTTTCTAATCCCTGTGTTCATTAGCAGCCATTAATTGGGGAGGTTAAAAAGGAGCTTCTCCTGTGGCTCAGCCAAAGTTGCCTGTCCCAGCTACCCAGCCTAAAAATGTGTGCTTAGCTCCTGCTGCAAGCTCTGAGTGTTGTGAGGGCTTTTTGGGGGGAGATTAAAGGGATCTTTCTTCTCCAGCGATGCTCTCCCATGGTCTCAAATGCTGTTCTCAGACCACATACCCACCACCTTCTGCCCCTCTTCAAGTCTGTCCCTGCTGGGAAGTTTCAGACCTCGAATCCTTTTTTTCTTCATTCCCCTCTGGGGTCCCCACGGGGGACGGAGGCGCGGATGGCCCTGATTCCTCCCGGGCCCCCTGCGTGGGGATAAAAAGCCCCGGGTGCCGGTGGCTGTGTCCCAGGCGGATGCTAAGAATGGCTCTTTGTTCCCTGTTTTTAATTACTGGGCCCAAGCAGCTCATTAACTGCTCTGCCCCACGCCCCCCCGTCCCTGCAGCCCCCCACAGGGACATGCTGGGGCTCAGCCTCTGAGTGCAGATTTTGGGGTGACACATAAAACCGGCTCAAAACGAGCTTGGGCTGAAGCTGCCAGCATTGCTTATCTCTTTACGTAGCCCGGCAGGGGTTCAGGGGATGCCTGGAGAGAGGGGGTTGTACATCACTGGAGCAGACGTCCATCAGCAGACATCCAGAGCATCCCCTGCAGACTCCGTCATAGTTTTCCCAGTTGAAAAATAACCAGCTGGCAGAAGCCTCTTGGGTTTTTTGGGAGCCAGGGACAGTACCAGCCCCATCATCCATGTGCAGGGACTTTGGGAAGGGCCGGAGGACACGCAGTGTGCTCTGAACCCAAAGCATCGCACAACTCCAAGGAGGGTTCAGGGCTGGGGTCCTTCCCACGGCACCCCGATTGCCCCGGGGCAGAGCGGAGCCCCACTGTTCACCCCCCCGTACGTACAGATCTGGGAGCACAATCAGCCCTTTGGGAAGCTCGATATGAATGATTTAGAAAGAAGTTTTGGACTGTCTCATGGAGGGAGCTTGCATTTGCATTTGAAAACTGTGGCGGAGCTGGCGGTGCTGGAGGGGGGACGGGAGCGCTGGCCGGGTGCTATCAATGGGAAACTGTTCTGTCTAACGCTCCCGGGGCCAAAAAATGTGAACTCTGCAGATTTCTGGCTCTGTTCATGGTCAGAATTGCTGGCTCCGTTGTCAGTGCTTGGCTGCTCCGCTCCCAGCTATGAACAGCTCTGCTCGGAAGCTGGTTTTCCTTCGCTACCAAAGCAGAGCGGGGTTTTGTCAAAGATGGGGTGGATGGGGGGGGTGTCCGGGGTGTGAAGGGGGATTCAGCTCACTGTGTTTGGGACATGGGCAGGCTGTTTGTGCTCTCCGGTCCTTATCAGCCCGGGATCCAGTTTGTGGCGATTTCAATGCTAAAGGCGTCAGTTTGCCTTTGCTTTGGGAGCGGAGCTGAGGCCTGACGCACTTGTGTCACGTCAGACCCCTTCGTGCAAGCCTGTGGGCTCAGCGCCCACTTTGTGCCTGTCCCAGTGTCCGTGTCCCAGTCCCAGGCTGCGGTACCCCAGGAGACACCACCATGGTTCATAAATGCTCTTTTTTTTTTCCTCCTTTCTCAGCCTGTTTCACACCACTGGCCCATTACATCAATGGGGTAACCTGTCCCCAGTGCCCCCCCTTCCTACCCCACTGTGCCCAGCCTTCGTCCTTCCTCGCCAGCTCCCACAGGTGCTCTCGCTGGAGGTGAGGCCGTTGTTGGATGCAGGCATCTCCCTAAATCTCCTTGAACCCCGTAGAAAATGAACCATCCCCGGTTCAGGCGGGGACGACGGCGAAGCCGCGCAGGGATGCCGGGGAGAGCAGGGGCAGCTTGCCTTGGTGTAGTGCGTGCACAAATAAAACCCCGGAGAGCTTTGCACTGAGCTGGAAGTAATGGCATTACAAGCGCTTGCTCGCTTCTGGCCGCTCTTTGGTTTAGATGAGGCTTTTCGGGGCTGGCTGAAGGGCTGCAGCACATAGGGGTTTGCTCCCAGGTTGGGCGCAGCTCCGGGAAGGTACGTGGGAAAGGCTTCCCGGGCACGGTGGCTTGTCAGCGGAGCACAAGGGTAGGGATGGGGCCCTGGCATGGTCCTCACCTCCATCCCGGCATCCGCGTACTCGCTGGCATCTGGGGGTTTGCACCCACGGAGCATCCCCTGCATGGAAAAGCCCCTGCTGCCGCCGCGTGGGCTACATCCTCTGTAGCCTGGTGTGGGGAGGACGAGTCCTCTGGGCAGAGAGCAGAGGGAATGGGGAGAAAAAAAATAGACAAAATCTCTGTGTTTTCTTTTTTTTCTTTCTTTCTCCTTTGGCAGGAGAGGCGTGAGGGCTCGCCGGCAGGATGCCGCTGGTGAAGAGGAATATCGAGCCCCGGCACCTATGCCGGGGGGCTCTTCCCGAGGGGGTGACGAGTGAGCTGGAGTGTGTTACCAACAGCACGCTGGCTGCCATCATCAAGCAGCTGGGCAGCCTCAGTGGCACGGCGGCCCCAGCCCCTGCGTGGGATGGTGACGGGGTGGTGGGATGCTGGTGGGACACCGTGGTTTCTTGCTCCGGTTCCAATCACAGAGAAATGGGGGCTATGTGAGAGCCGTGCGGGCTGCAGCCACCCCTAATTCAGTGGGAATTACCCAGCTAATAAAAAAAGAAGGGTACTCAGGGCCAAATCCAAAGTGGGGACTTGGTGACATTTTTAAGACCCGTTTTCCTCCCATAGCTGCTCTGTACGGTTAGGGATGGAAAGTCTTTGTGAGCCCCTTGTTTCTCAGCTAGAAATAGGAAAGTCAGGCGAAGAGTAAAAAAAACCCGATCTATTTTTTGTAGTCTTAAAGTGTTATGTGAAAGAGAGGTCTATATAAAATGTCTAAATCCTCGGCTGTCTTCCTGCCCTGGGCCTGATTTCGGCAGAGAAGGGGAGGACGAGAGCATTGCGCACGGCAACGTGAAGGTTTAATGGGGGCAACCTCTTTCACTGCTGAATGTTGACTTAAAATAGAAAGAGAGGTCCAGGCTTTTCAGGCCTCCCCTTCTTTCCTCTCACCCCTCACCCTACAA